GGGCGCCGCGCTACTAGGCTGCCGGCCGGCGAGCTCGCGGGGCAGAGCGGGGCAAGTCGGAGCGCCAGCGCGTCGCCAGAGCCCGCACCGCACCGCGCCGCACGCACGCACGCACGGCGGAGGCTTGCAGGTAGCGGCGCCCGCGGAGGCCCGCCAAGCCCGGTGGCCCCGCGCGTCCAACCGCGCGGCGGGGCTTCGGGGGGGGGGCGCCCTTTTGGGCTGAAGGCGCGCGGATGGGGGAGCCCCCCCTCCAGGGGAATGAACCTTCCACCCGGCAGCCGCCCCCTCGCCCCTTCCAGTGGTTCCCGCGCGGGGGGGGGTGGAGCACGTGTGAATGTAGCCCCCCAGCATGGGCTTGGGGGGATTCTTTGACCCGGCTGGCGGGAAGGGGTGTGTGTGTGGAGGGGTCCGCGTGTTCATCACATGTTTTAATCGTGCATTGAGTAACCCCCTCTTTTTTTTAACCGTGGAGGCTGAGCACTGTCCATGCTCGATTTGGAAGACCTGGGGCTGCCTCGGGCTGGGAAAGCCTGGCTTTTTAAAAGAAGGGGTCCTGGGCTTGAGGCTGCTGAAGGAATCCTGCCCCCTTGATCGGGCCCCGCTCTCCCCCCTGTTGGCCAGCGAGGGAGGCTGCGGTGGGGGGGGGGGCGACCGGGAGACACTGCTTTGAACATGCCCGAATGTGGGGTTCTGAAGCGCACAGCTGGCGCACCCCCCAAGTCAGTGCAAGCCTTGGCAGCCAGAACGTGAGCCCTCCATGAGCCTTGCCTTCCGCTCCTGTTCTGATGGGTCTCGCTCTGCTTTCCTGCCCGCCCCAGGCGACATTATGAGCTCCCCAGGAGGCACCCCTGCCACGGAGGTGGACATGAAGGATGTGGAGCTGAACGAGATGGACATGGAGAAGCAGCCCATGAACGCCTCGTCCCCCCTGGCCGGCTCCCCTGGCGAGAAGAACGGGGTGGTGAAGGTGAAGGTGGCCGAGGAAGAGGAGGAAGGGGGCGAAGCCACGGCCAAGTTCACCGGCCTCTCCAAGGAAGAGCTGCTGCAGGTGGCCAGCACCCCCGGGTGGGTGCGCACCCGCTGGGCCCTCCTGATCCTCTTCTGGCTGGGCTGGCTGGGCATGCTAGCGGGGGCCATCGTCATCATCGTGCAGGCCCCCCGCTGCAAGGACCTCCCCAAGCAGGAGTGGTGGCAGAAAGGGGGCATGTACCGCATCCCGAAGGTGGAGGCGTTCCAGGACTCTGCAAGCGACGGCGTGGGCGACCTGGCAGGTGAGCCCTGAGCGGAAGCGGAGGCAGGGAAGGATGGCGAGCCCAGAAGCCCAGCTCGTGGCCACCCTTTCCCGCAGGCCGGCTTTCCCCCAAACGGGCTGAGCAGCTTCAGCTCCCATCCCCTCCCGACAGCTCGGAGGGTGCCACACTTGAGTAAGCCCATCCTGTGGGGCATCACTCCCCCCCTCGCCCGATTTAATCATTCCCCTCTGGAATGAGTGATTAACTAACCCGGAGGGAAAAGTTACTCTTGTCCCTCGGAGGCTGCCCCCCTCGCCCAAAGGCTGGCCCCAGACCGCCGGAGAAACAACAGGAGGCACTCCGAACATAACTCCAGCGCTTTGGCCGCCTGCCTGCCTGCTTGCCCCCCCCCCCCCACCCACGAGATCTTGCTCCTTCCCCTCAAATTTAAACAAAAATCCCCACTGGCCTGTTCTTTCAAAACCAGAACTTTTGACATCTGAAGAGCAAACAAGGTGGACCTCCAGGCTGGATCAGGACCTCCCCGAGCCTTTTTCTCCTGTGCTCAGCAGTACTCTGGGTACATGTGACCTATCACCTGCCGCTGCCTTCTCTCCCCCGCCGCCTCCCCGCTGCTAAAGAAACGCTGGCTGGTTCCTGCAGCCTGGCCCTGGGCAGCCCAGCCGTGCCAGCCAGACTTCTCAAGCAGCCGGTTTCATCCGGCTTAGGTTTTTGGAGTAATCGCTGGCCTTTGTTTCATCAGCGCCTGACGTCAGCAACGCTGACTCAGCTGGGGGTGGCGGTAGCGGCTGGGTGAAAAGGCTTCCACGGCCTCACTACTTCCCTTTCCCTCAGGCTCTCTCTTTTCCTCCTCCCCGTGACGTGACGGCATGGGTGGAAATTTGAGGTTACCCCAAAGCGGTTTGATGCTTCGTATGCTACCTGCCCAAGCCCCTGATTGGACAAGCTTAGCCCCCTCATTGCCTTGACCTCCTAAAAGTTAAACCAGGGGACTCTAAAGCGTCCCCAACGAGGACAAGGGAAAAACCAAGCAGTGGTTCAGGCAGAATTAAACCCTAGGGCTTCACGGCTGGCTGGATAATGCAGTGTCTGGGATTTTTTTTCTGCCTAAACATGCAGGAAACGACTCTCCTGGTTCTTAATGAGAATAAGAACTATTTTTGTATTTAAAAAAAAAATGTTCTGAAAACAATCCTAAAACAGATGTGTTAAAATCACATAAAAATAAGAATAAAAGCAGCACACAGCCAACTTGTTTTTACATGCCAAAGACTTCCTTGATTTAAAAAATTTATTACCTTCCACAGCTTCTGCCCCCCAGCATCTGAAATGTACTTTTCAAGTCCTTCTTTACAGCCTTGAGGGCTAGAAGCTTTTTTTATATTGAGAGCTTTAGCGCTCAGATAGCCTTCCGTTGGGATGGGGTGCCCAACCCTAGCGTTGCCCATCCAGAGTCAGCAGGGCCTGGATAGCGGTCCCAGTCAGAGTCTTCCCTACAGTGTTGCATTTCCATTTAAATTCCAGCAATTATTTATTTATTCATTTATTTATTTAAAACAGTACAATTGAAAATAGATACAACTCTCAACTATGCATATACAAATCAGCATATCAATTTCTATTGAAAACGGTGCCCCCTTTTGGGTATTATTTATTGCTTTATTTATATAGCAATGTGTTTCTTCCCTCTTTTGTTTTTGTTGGTTTTGGCCACAGGATCCATTTTATTTTTTGTAACTAAGAGCTCAGAGTTTGGTCCCCCACCCCCGCCCTGTCCTGCTCTTACCTTCTAATCTCCTCCTTTTATACCGAGCTCAACACTTTTTACTTCGTTTTCTGCTGCTGCTTAGGTCTGAAACTGCAGATGGATTACTTAAGTTCGCTCAAAGTGAAAGGTTTGGTGATCGGCCCACTTCACGTCAACCCTGCAGATGACCAGGCCGGAACTGACCTGCGAGCTGTCGATGCCGACCTGGGCACGCTGGCCGATTTCCAGGATGTCCTGCGGGCGGCCAAGAAGAAGGGTAAGGGAGCAGGTTTTTGCAGCGGCTGGATCCCTCGCAGCGGCTCGCGTGGTCTCTCTCTGGAGTGTTCAGGAGCCGCTTTCCGATATTTTAATGGGCTGATCTTCTCTTTCCAGGCCTGAAGGTGGTCTTGGACCTGACGCCCAACTATCAAGGCCAGTCCCCTTGGTTTAATCAAAGCATTCTTAGCAACACGGACCTCCAGAACAAAATGAAGGCGAGTAGAGGGAGGGGCTTTTGAAGGGCAGAGCGTCACGTGGTCCAGGGGTGGGCAGCACATCTGGAGGGTTTATCAGGATATATCAGCCACACAGATGAAGTTACCCTACCTCAACAAGAAATAAAATGTGTAAAATTCTGCTAAGTTAAAATCCATATTGAATCACAAAGTGAGAAGGGAATGGAAGAGTCATTTGGGCTAATGCCCGTGCAGGGGCTGATGCGGAGGGATCCACCAACACATCTGCAATTAAACTTTCCACGGTCACATCTGATGCCTGAACGCTTTTCCTGATCCTGTTCTTGCTTTCCAACCCGCAGGAAGCCATTGATTTCTGGCTGAAGGAGGGGGTATCCGGGATCCAGATTGGAAGTATCGAGCTTCTAAACGTATGTGGTTCTATCTGCTTATATACTTGTTATTTATTTATTACTTACTTGGACTTTTTGTATGCCGTCCCATTCGCATGAGCCTCGGGACGGCTTCCAATACAATAAACAAACAAAGCATGTAAATAGTACACATAAAATCCAGATTCACCCTGGCTGTAGAATTAAAACCAATAAATAATATTAACAGTTGTTAAAATATGGTTTAAATAAAAAGGTCTTGGCCTGGCGCTGAAAAACAAATAACGACGGCGCCAGGCGGACCTCTCTGGGGAGCGCATTCCACAGGTGGGGCGCCACCGCCGAGAAAGCCCTGCTGTGGGTACTCACCCTCCTAAGGTCTCTCCCTGAGGGCTCCCGGAGGAGGGTCTCTGCTGCCGATCTCAGGGGGCGGGAGGGCAAATATGGAAGAAGGCGTTCCTTTAGGTATCCAGGTCCCAAGCCATTCAGGGCTTTGTAGGTGATAACCAGCACCTTGAATTGAGCCCGGACTTCGATGGGGAGCCAGTGAAGCTGGTAGAGGACTGGGGTTATGTGAGAGTCATGCCCTGCCTTTCCTCCAAGAATATACAATATCTTCCCCTTGACCCACTGACCCATTGATGCTCCTCCCCTGGGCCCTGCCTTTAGTGCTGCTAGGGACAAGCAGAAACCCAACAGAAAAGCCTGCAGACTTTTCTCCTTCTGAAAACGAGCATGTCCATTCATTTCAAGCCTTCTAGGAAATGCTACCCCTCCCTCGCAGGGGCGGTGTGTTCCCCCCCCCCCGGCCCAATGGCAATGGGGAAGGGAATGGGTGGGGCACAAGGGAAGTGCAGGGGCCAAATGGCTGTGCCCTGCCTCCCCGTCTGCTTCAGCGAACCTTTGCGGGGGTTTGTGGTAGCAGCACTGGGGTGCCTTTTGTTCCTCGCCTTAACATGGAGGGATTAACAGTCCCCTTTCCAGGGGGGTGTTGGGGGGCAGCTTCCTTGCAGGGGGAGGAAGCGAGGGCAGGCAGGCGATGGGAGGCGCTTCTAGGAGCCCGGTATCGCTCACCTGGCGTGTTCCTTTCTCAGGATTCCCAGATCCTCAGTGACTGGAAGAATCTGACTAAACAGCACAGCACTGACGACCATGTCAGGTAGGCACCCAGCTCGGGCTGGTCCACGGCTCCCGTCATCCCCAGCCAGCACGGCCACAGACCCCGAGGGCACTAGTTTGGGGGAGTGCCACTGTAACATGTATTCTGTCGGGCTGGTTCCACCCGTGTCCAAGGCATGTGGAACTCACCAAGGCAAACGGCCAGTGGGCCTTCCTGTAAGTGGGTAGCGCAGCCTGGAACTTGTGCACAATTCCGGTCACGGCACCTCCAAAAGGATATTGTAAAGCTGGGGGTATTGCAGAAAAGGGCCATCCAGAAGATCCCCGTTGCAGTCTTCTGGGATTTCCTTTCCTTGCAAGAAAGTTGAATTGTGAGGGGTGGAGGGGACATATAAAATTGGAGGTATATAAAATTATGCACCATATGAAGAAAGTGGGTAAGGGAGAGAGGCTCACTCAATGAAGATGAATGATGGGAAATTTAGGACAGACACAAGGAACAGGGGCATGTTTAGGCAGAAAACATCTTACAGACGTTAGAACTTTTTCTATTTGAACATGCAGAGGCTTGTGCTCACAACACGTTGTCCCACGATGCATAATCAAACTGTGGGAAGATGGAAGCCAAAGTCTAACATTTACTACAAGGTGTACTGAAGGTCACTAGATACTGTGACTTTATTTTCGAAGGCCTTTGATTTTTCTGAATGTATTTGTTAGTTCAAGCCAGTCTTAAATGGTGAGCCATCCTGAGAATGTTTTCTTACAGAACAGCAGCACAGATAGGACTCTGGTCTGATGTGGCACAGCCCTTTTTATGTTTAAACAAGGAAAACATGCATTTCCAGAAATTTGCGGCCTATTTATTGGACATAATGTTGCCTTGCGTGATTCTGCCATTGGCTTTGCTAGTTCGGTGTAGCTGGTTTTGCGGTGAGGAATAAAAAGGTGTCGAAAGTCTTCGATGTGGCTCCCAGGCCTCCGAATCCTTCAAGGCTCGCCTCTGCCTGCAGCCCCAAGACCAGAACTAAGCTTCACCTTGTCTTCTTTGTTTTAAACAAGCGTGTATCCTCTCAGAAAATGTAGCCACGTGTCCGATACTATTTCAATTCTTTTTTTGAGCAGCTGGGAGAGCTCCACCTTTTCTGCTCTGCTGCCAATGTCAGCTCGGCTGAGAATTTTGCAAAGCTGGCCTCTAATGCAGGTGTTCCAACCTTTCTCTCTCGTTCTCCTTCCACAGGGTACTGATTGCATCCACACATGAGCAAGACACCAAAGGCATATTCTCTCTGCTCAATGAGACCATCGGCCCAGATCTTCTGACCAGCCCGTACCTTCAGGGGCTGGTGAAAAACGACCAAGATAAGGCCTCACGAGGGGCCGCTGCTGGTCTCATGATCTCCCAGTACATTCAAGAAGCTGGGGACAAATGGTCCGGCTGGAGTGTGAGTTGCTGGCTTTGGGATCCAACCGGTTTGAGTGCGTGTGGAGGTGGGGGGGAGAGAAGGGGAGGTAAGACTCCGTATTTCACACTCCCTATTTCAGAGTGATGGGAATACCAAGTGTCAGGGAAGGTCATTCATTCATTCATTCATTCAGAAAATTTATTTAGAAAATTTCTAGGCCGCCCCATTCGCCGAAGCCTCGGGGCGGCTTACAAATAAATAGGTTCATCCTCTGCACGATCAAACCGGATGTTTTTGGCCATGGTGACGAGAAAGCGTTGGGCGACTGTTTGGGAACCAGCCTGTTAAAATACTGTATTTATTTCCTTGGACACTAACCGGCTATCTCTCGGCAGGTGGGGAGACCCGATGTCGGGCATTTGGCCAACTCGATGGGCGAGCACCTCCTTCGCTTGTATCACCTGCTCCTCTACACGCTCCCTGGGACGCCCTTCACAGACTACGGCGATGAGATCGGCCTACGGGACTTGCCGGGCAAGGTAAGGGGCCATGCCTGAATCCCCTGGAGGTGCGGACATGGCTTGGCGGGGGCGCTTTGAGAACGTGTCACCAGAAGGCTTCAGAAAGGGGATAATTTTGCCTCTGGCCGCCTCCGTGTATTTTATGCTGCAGCCGCAAGGCCTGCCCATGAGGCTACTTTACGATGAAAACGTGAGATCCTCAGAGAACCGAGAAGTTTTTATTTTTAAGCCCTGGTTGAAAAAGAGTGGTTGGCATGACCTTGAACCCAGAGCTTTTATCCAGTCCTGGGAGGGCAGGAAAAAGCAGGTGCTGGGTGAGGAAAGACACTGTGCTTGGTCAGAAGCAATGCTTCATAAAGAACCCCCTGCTCCTTAATATTACGTGACATTTATAGCTTGCCTTTTTCCTCTTGTCAGGAACCCAGGCCAGCTTCTATAGGTCTGATTTATCCTCATGACAGCATGCCTATGAAGTAGATATGTTGGGAGTGACCAGTCTTGAGGCACCTGGGTCCCGCAGTCCACCTTTTGACCCACCCAACTGGCTGTCAGTGGGGCCAGCACCTGCCAAACACCCGCAATTAAGCATGATCCAAAGGAAGGAGAAACTTGTATAGCAGTTTCCAGACAGATGTGGGCTAAATCTGGGCCGGTGTTTTTCCCTGGAACCTGTTTTTGAATAGCTCCGGATTATATATAGGCAGAGTATCTGCCCATGTGCAGAGTGTAGTCAGCTGATTCACCATAGCTTATCCCTACCAACACACTGGTAGACGCACATGGATCTTGACCCGTTATTTCCAAGTCAAGGGATAATATGACTTAGTTTCCTGGCAGATCCAAGTTTCTTCCACTGGTCCATCCATGGCTAAGGCAGAAATTATTCCCCTTTATTTCTGAGGCCTGCCTTTCAGCTGTTTTGCTTGCATCATAAATGTGGAAAAATGCACGCAACACTCCTATAGGAGGGCTGGGGAAATCGGAATAAGGCCTGGGGCCCTGGGAAGTTGGAAGTGGTCAGGAAGTTGGAAATGTCTGTGAACTTGTACAGTATCCAAGAGGGCAAGCAGCTGTCCTTGCCCCCTGCCTCTGGATGATCCCTTGCCAAACGCTTCCTTGCCAAAAGCCTTCAATATTCTTCTGATAAACATAAACCTTGGCAGCGGAAGAAATAATTCCAGAAGTCTCCACTGTGCCCCATTTCCCATGGCTCCCAGTAGGAGCTCTGTGAACACGGTCCAGCTGCTCCGTGGGTGGACACCAAAGGAGCGGTGTGTGTGTGTGTGTGGGGGGGGCGTTTTCAGAAGCATTCCATGGGCAGCAGAACTCTGGCGATGTGGGGCTGGGTCAGCAGCCCTGACTCTCCCAACCCACATCCCTTGTGGGAATGTCACTTTTCAAACTCTTGCTTGAAAGCAGGCAAACACTAAGGAACGTGTGTTCCCACGGTGCAACATGCCTGGTATTAGAATGAGTATCAGGGATCCAACGGGATTTCGGCAGTGCAGCTCACCTGCACGCACTTCCTTGCAAGACCAAGAAGTCTAGAATGATCTGCAGTGGCTTCCCGTACACTGGATTTGTGGGTGGTGGGGGCGCAGGACCGGGTTGCATTTGGGGGCTTCGCTTGCTCACCGCCGCCGTTTTCGCCACACAGCCTGCCGCATCCAGTCTCATCCGCATGCAGTGGGACAACACAGCCAACTTCGGCTTCTCGAAAGGGGCGCAGCAGCCGCAGACGAACAAAACGGCCAGCGACGTCACGGTGCAGGTGAGGAGGGCAGAAGCCGGAGTCTGCGGTAGGAGGAGGGCGTGGAGAGATTTTTGGCTTGGCGAGCGGCGCTCCCTTGAGCTGTTGGGGCTCGGCAGTGGCCAGAAGTATGTTTTTACAGCTGAGGCGATGCACCGCGCCTTTTCCTAGAAATGTTTCAAGATTTGCTTGGGTGGTCATTCTCTCAGCCCCACCACTATCCAAGGCATTTTGGGGGGCATGCAAGACAGGGCCTTCTCAGTGGCTGCCCCTGGTGAGGGAGACTCACCGGCCTTCCCCCAGCAGGCAAATGTGCTTGTATTCAGACAAGCCTTTGGGACAGAAGCTGGTTGGCCACTGAAGGGTTCCCCCGCCACCCCAACTGCTTGAAGCTGTTTATTTCTTCTATTGCATTTTGTTGTTATTCATAGTATTTTAATGAAAATTCAGGTTTTGCTCTGGATTTTTTTATTTAATTAGCTGCTTGAAGCATCACCATTTGGTGGAAATAAAGAGCAGGAAACTTGTCCCTGGATGTGAAAGAGCGCTAGAAATGGTGAATATCCTGAGTTAATGTCTCTCTGTCCTTTCCTCTTCACTGCAACTACAGACGCAGCGGGGCAACAAGGCCTCAGTCTTGGCGTTCTTCCAGCAGCTGAGTGAACTGCGGGGCAAGGAGCGCTCCCTCCTCCACGGGGACTTTTACTTAGCCCAGAGCACGAACCCAGCCGTCCTGGCATACCTGCGTGTTTGGGACCAGAACATGCGCTTCCTGGTGGTGCTCAACTGGGCGCCCACGGAGAGCATCGTCACCCTGACGCACCCTCACCTCCCAGACACTCTCGCCGTGGAGCTCAGCACGCATCCAGAGCGGGAGAAGCAGCAGCTGGGCCTCCAGGACCTCCGGCTGGGTCCCTCGGAAGGGCTGATGCTCAGCTTCATGTACGTGGCCTAGCGTCTCTCCAGACCTCCCCCATCCCTGTGCGGCTGTGCTGGGGGACAGAGAATGGAGGCGGTCCCAGAGTGCCTCGAAGGAAGCCATCTTAGCACCCATCTTTCCCTCTCCCCTTCCGTCATCCTGACCTCACTTGTGTCCATTTCCTTTTTGCCCTTGGCTTCCTTGTTTCTTCACTCTTTCATACATTCCTTGACCTGCCGGTATGTGGGGAAAGAGGCTCCCCAGCAGGGGAGGGGAACCCACGGCCCTCCAGACGTTGCTAGGTTGTCACTTTGTTTATTAGGGGCCGCAGACTGTGTAGGCTGGGGCTGATGGGGCTTGGGAGCCCAAGAACACCTGGAGAGCCAGAGCTTCCCCTCACTCCTGCACTGGTAACAGAAATGTCCCACCTCGCCCCAAGAAAACATTCTAATGCGTTATGTATGTGTGGATTTGGGGTATATGTGTGTATGTGTTTTTTTTAATAACAACTGGGCAAATGTTCTGCTCAGAGCTGATGCTCAAGCTGACTGGGCTTCTACAAAATCCACACGACATGCCCTTCTCGGCCTTTGTACCAACCCAGTCAGAACGGGGTTCGCTGCAGGGGTGCTTTGAGTGTGAGTTTCGTTCACTGATACCAGCTCCCCACACCCCACCGTCCTCCCCCACCTGGTGCCCCTCCAGATGAGCTGGGCTACAAACCCCATCAAGCCACACGGAGGTTGCAGCCCAACTCTTCGGGGGGGGGGGGCATCAGGCTGAGGGGGATGGGGGGGTGTCCAATACTGTTGAAGACTCATGGAGCAAATTCAATAAATGTGCCCCTTCCCCTCTCTCTCTCTCTCTCTCCCTGTCTACTTTTTGACTTCTGTCATGTACCATTCCAGCAGCACAGCCATCATAAATACGTGGAATAAATCCCTTCTTCTGTTCAGTGGCAGGGGGGTGGGGGGTGTTTCAATTTTACCTCCATTCAGCGTTAAGGAGACATTCCTGTACTTGATTTGTACTTTCACCCTCTTGTGAGAGTGTTAGCTGAGCTTGGTACCCAGCCATTCAATCTCTGTAAACAGGACAGAGAAGAATCGATGTAAATTGAGCTGCGAGTGGACAGAAAGTTGGTCTCTAGAATCGCAGACGACCTGCAAGAATTGCAGACTCCCAGTTAAACTGGCACAGTTTCCACATCTTCAACAAGCCACAGCATGTGCTGGGCAATGCAGCTGGATGGGACTTGTGTCCTCCATACTTGGGTGGTATAGTTTGCTGGAGCACGAAAATAACCCTCAAATAACCCACAGGTTACCTCTGCTTTCCCCCTCCAACAAGCCATGCTACTTGGATTTAGATAATGCATGCCATGCCCACACGAGGAATTGAAAGAAATGGTGCCCAGCATGTGTGTGTGGATGACACGGGGATTGAACTAGGCAGATCCTTCTGCTACCATCCTTAATTCTATTACTGAATTGAAGAAAGCTTGGAGAGGAAACCAAGTGGAGGAGAATTTTGAGTGGCAGGAGCATGCCAGGTCGCTGGATCTTGGGCCTCTAATGAAAATTTAAGTCTGACAAGCCGAAAGCAACCCTGTTCTTAGGCAGGTCAGTTTCCCAATCTACGCATTCATTGTTCAGGTGTGCAGTTAGGGCAGGGGTGAAGAATTCAAGAGCCTAAGAGTCGACTTTATTTTCTTTTTTCTAAATCAATGTTCCCCAGCAATATTGACAGCTATAAAGATAGGCTGGAAAACATGCTGAGACAATCTTGGAAGCCGCAGAGAAAGTTGATTAGAGGAGCTGTAGCTTCCCCTTTCCTATGTCCACAGGAAGAAAATATTAAGAAATTACAGAACAAACCAGTACATGCACCAAGATGCCAAGTGTTAAACTCTATTGATGCAGAATGATCCATTTTAAATGCACAATTTTAAATCGTGGCACCTCCACATTCCCTAGCTACTTAACTTGCAAGCAGTAAAGCTTTACTGCTCGTTTTACTAGTAGAACACACACATGCCAAACTTAACTCTTCTCCCTGGATTCTGTGTAGGAAAGCACCATGTGCAAGCAACTGACTTCGAAAAGTGCTAGCTACAATTAAAAACACAACTATAGATGACCTAGTATGAGGAGGAAAAATCCAAAGGCTACCATTTTTACTTTGAACAAACAAAATTCTGTAGAAATTCCAGGGTCACTGATGAAGAGTTTGAGAACCTAGAAGCTTGTATATTTTGTAGGATTTTGTGTGGTTCAACAAATCAAATCCTCGAATAACCTAACACCATAGTTACTATGCATGTTCATATAAGACACACTGTGGTTAATGAGGTCTGGAAATGCATGTGCAATTTGTGCACTGAATTTGGTGAGGCAGACTTCAGATCCTGAGGATGGCATTTCTGCAATGTCTTCCTCTGTAAAATATGCTTAATAAAGTGGGCGATCCCACTAATTCCAGTGCCTTGCAGCCTTCCATACTAGATGGAAGTGATGGGAGTTGTAGTCCAACTTATACATAGCATCCTCCTAACATATAAGCATGTGTATATGGTTTTAATTACGCCTGTAATTATCACATAGGCTGTTGAAAGTGAATTCTTTGGTTTTTCCTGTTGTGGAAAAACAGGACCCTCTGTTACATTTTCAAAGAACAAGCAATTTCTCCTGGAGAGCCAATGCAGCCTGATGGTTACTGTGGAACCGGGCTTTGGAGTCCTGGGTCTCGGTACCCACTCAGGCTGCTAGGCTTCCTGGGCGATTTCTGGGCCAATCACTGGCTCCGGCTGGCCTACCTCGCAGGGTTGTTGTGAGGATAAACGGGGGAGGAGTGCTTATGAAAGTCCGGGGATCCTAGAAGGGAAAAGGACGGGACAGAAATACAACGGAGATGCCGCCCAAGCTTTCCCTGCCGATCTGCGAACCAGCGGCCCCTCCCGCGCCTCGAGCTCGCCCGCACGTCCCCTTTAAGGCCGGCGGGGCCTCCTCCTCCTCCTCGATGCCCCGCACCTGCGTCCTACGCTCCCAAGTACTGACTGCCCTTTTTTTTTCTCCTCCTTTCTTTCCAGTCGGCTCACCCGCCCACTTCCCCTTTAAGCAGCCTACCCCGACGCAATGCAGGTGAGGCTAGGCCAATGGGGCGGCGGGCGGCGGGCCACGTGACGGCGGAGGGGGCGGGGCCGAGTTTTTAAAGGGCGGGGCGCAACGCGCGCGAGGCCCTCGCGTTAGCTCCGGAAGGGGAGAGTTCGATGCGGCGGGTTGCTGCCGGGACTCGTTTGCGGGGGCGGAGGGATACGCGCACGCCCAGGCCGGCAGTCCGTCGGCGGTGAGCGGCCCGCGCAGCAACCGTCGCCGCCTGCCGTTGAGAGGCGCGGCGAAGAGCGAGGGGCGGCGGCGGCGGCGGCTGTGGCGGCGACTCCGGCCCGGGCTGAGGGAAACGGGCGGCTGCCAGGAGCTGTGAGGTCGTAGCGCCACTTCCCCCACCCCCGTTACCATGGTGAGCGCGCGCCCGCGGGGGAGGGGGCGGGGGAGGGGAAGCGGTGGGGCTGGGGCAACACTCTGAGGGCGAGGGCTGGCCCGGCCCCGCCCCTTCCAGAGGGGGGCTAGTGGTTGGGGGGCTGCTAGCGTCTCCTCTCCTAAATTAAGTGTAATCGGGAGATGGGGAAGCGGAGTTTTAACTTGGGAGGGGGTATTAGGTCCCTCCCCCTAAGATGTGGCCCCAAATGGGTTATATGGGGTGGGGGAGGGAGGGAGAAAGTCTCAAATGCGGGGGGAAGAATCAGACGTAATAATTCCTGTACTGTGGTGGTGGGGACTTGGATGATGGGAGAGCTGGAAGTACCCACCCCAGCAAACAGTGTGAAAGTGTAGAGCTGGAAGCAGGGGAGCTAAAAAATGGGGAACCCAGGGATAGTATGGGGAAGGGGTGGGCGGGGAGACTGAGGCTCACCCTCAGAATAAAGGATGGTGAATAGGGAGGGAGCTAGGCTGCCCTCCCAAATTGGGGGTGCATCATTTGATGGAATCGTAGGAAGGGGATCGGGCTGGAAGGCTTTCCTCTCCCACCCCCCACTTCCCCCGACAAAGTGCACCCCGTGATTTGTGTGGCACTGGACATGGAAGGGTTAATAAAAGATGGGGGGGTCTCAGAGAAGGGCATCCTGTACATGACATTCACAGGTACACAGAGACTCGAAGGTGGGGAGGGGGTCATGGGTTTTATGGGGTGGGGACCTCAAGTTGCCACCCTCCCACCTGCACAGACACACAAGTGGAGAGGGGGTGTGGGGCTGACAGGAGAAAGGGGAGTGGGAGGGGGGCGTCTCGGTCCGTCTGGGCTGCCTTCACTGGAATGGCTGCAGCTGGAACGCACCCCTCCCGGTGGCAGTCCAGGTGGGAATTTGCTGCGATGACACAGAGGTGACAGTGGGGACAGGGGCTCTACCGGGAAGGAGAGGAGATGATGAGAGGCTTCCCTGTGAGAGAGGCGTTAAGAAGGCATAGTTAATAAAAGGGGATGTACTGGGAAGGAAATGCCACCTAAAAGAATGGGGAGGGGCTGGGGGAGTGTTGAAATAGGAAGAAGGGGTTCCCGTCAGAATTCCTGAGTCGGTGGTTGAGAAAGTTGGGGAGCGAGTGCCTGGCGTCCTCGAAAAGGAGATGCAGCCAAGTCAAAGGTTACCAGGAGCCTTGTATTTGTATGGACACATGTCTGGGCCCCCGCGAGTGGGGAAGATGGCTTTTTGCTCAACTGCAGTAAGGATCGGTTTGGATAGTTGGAGGTTAAGAGAGCATGGGGTGCACTGTCATTGTCTGCTTTTAAGATGTGGCGTTGGCCATGACTAATCGGTGTGGTGTTTGGATGTGGGGTCATCTCGGAGATGATGGAAATAATGGGGGAGTAACAGTGGGGCTTTGTTTGTGGTCTGAAGGTATTGGCCTCTTTTATGGCGAGGTGGGGATGGGAGATAACAGGCTTAGGGGGTTAGTCAAGAGGCTCTCCTCCTCCACCAGATTCCATTACAGGAGGAAGTGGTTGGAAGGCACCCTTAGGAAGCTGGAAAGAGGAGCTTCTCTGTGTAGGATTAGACACCCCTCGTATCATTTTAAAAGGGGACAATGAAGGGGTTGATACAATGTGAATAGGAGGTAACAGTGGTTGCCCTGTAATGGAGGGGGCATCGGATAAGTGTGGAAGGCGTTTTCTCTTCCTTGCCTCCATTCTCCACATCATCGCCTTCCACTTCAAAGTGTAGATTGTCTCTTGTGGGGCAGAGACCTTTCTTCTTCATATTTAGTGCATTAAAGCATTCTGGATGTCAATATAAATAGAAGACTGCCAGCAAACTCAAGTGGGTTATTGGCACGGGAACTTGGAGTGGATGATGTCAGTGCTACTGTGATCAGGTGGTGGGAAGTGTAGGCTGGGACACCTGGAGAGGGTGCAAGCAGCCCTGAAAAAGCAGGAGCGAAGTTGAAGGGAGAAGGCCTGATTTCGCACTCCTGGAGGCAGAGCCCCCAGGCAGGCCTGTGGTGCTGGTTTGTCTCAGTCCCAGTTATTTCCTGTAATTTGGTTATCCAGAAATTCGAGGCCTGGGGAGAAAGTGGCGGTGACAGCTTGGAAGAACAGGTGTGCATTTGTCTGAGGGAGATAAGGTGTATCACACGTGGAAGCAAATTCTGGAGGGTGGCTATGGACTGGAAAGAAGGGGGTGCAGAAGCAGCTCATGTTTGTTTCCCCCCTTCTTCCTGTAGGCTGACCAGCTGACGGAGGAGCAAATTGCAGGTAAGAATTCTTTGACTCTTGGGCATGGGAACAGTGGCAGCATCGGTCAAGGCCTAAAGAGTGGGCAAGGGGAAATGAGCACCTAGCGAGCCAGTGGCTCGGTGGGACTTGCTCTTCCTTGGCCGTGAAGTCCATTCACTGAGAGAGGGCGCTCACACACAGTCTCGCGTCCTTTGCTCCCTTCTCTTGTGAAACACTGAAGGGTCACTGTCAGTCTGAACATGGGTTTGACATAGTTCTTGCTCACACGCGTTCTGCAGATTGAAGCAGGCTTAAAGCCAGCCAAGCGGCACCTGGCTTCTGCTGAGAGACCATGGCACCTTAGCAGCCTCCCCTTGAATTCCGCTTGCCAGAGTCCCTTTGGAGTGGAGGAGCAGGAGGGCAAACTAGCCGAGTTACAGAAACGCTATGAAGCAGGACTGGGTGCCTGGGCAAAGGGACCGTTGAGGGTTAGGGCTGTCCCATGGGCCTCAGCAGGTTGGCTTGGAGAGGGCCTGTCTGCAGGGCAAAATGCCTCTGTTCTTGCCCCCAGCACAACCTGGGCGTTCTTTCCCACCAGCCCAGGAGCTGGCTGGTGCAGATGCTTGGGCCCTGCCGTGAAGGTGCCCCCTCAGCCCTGGCTTTCTCTCTTGAGTGGGGGGAATGAGGCTTGTGGGCCAAGGTGGAGTGGGGTGTCCCTGGCTCTGAGCTTGCGCTGTTCTCTTCCTGGTTGCTTCCACTCAGAGTTCAAAGAGGCCTTCTCCCTCTTTGACAAGGACGGCGATGGCACCATCACCACCAAGGAGCTGGGCACAGTGATGCGCTCCCTGGGGCAGAACCCCACGGAGGCGGAGCTGCAGGACATGATCAACGAGGTGGACGCCGACGGTGAGCAGTGCTGAGGACGGAGGACAGAAGCGCCGAGGGGCAGCGGGCCCTGCAAATTCCGGATTTTTCAGGCCTCCTATGGGATCCTGTCATTTCTTTGGTCACTTTGGCTGGGGAAATCACGTGTATTGTGGATATCATAGCTCACCCCCCAGAAAGATCTCTGGTATAGTTAACCGTTCCCATCTACTAGCAGATGTGAAGGGCTCTGTCCTTAGTGGGCTTGCTGTCGCAGGTCAGGGCTAAGGTAAAAACAAGTCAGCCAATTGAATTTGCTCCACAACCATCCATCATTCTAACTTTATTTATTTATACAATTTGTATGCCATCCAATTACGAACGTCTCTGGACGGCTAACAGCATAAATAAATTGACGACCCACTCCGGCTGCAATTAATAAAATACAGTAATACAATTCAATATGAAAACTTATTAAAATATTGAATAAATGAAAAGATCTTAACCTGGCACCGAAAAACATATAATGACGGCGCCAGGCAGACCTCTCTGGGGAGCACATTCCATAGTACTCTGCCTCCTAATACCTTTCACAGAGGGTTCCCGGTAGAGGGCTTCTGTTGCCAATCTCAGGGGATGGGAGGGCAAACAGGGAAAAAGGCAAAACTTAGGTGACACAAGCAGTGAAGCTGGCAGTGGGACACTGTAAAACTTTGAGCAGCAACGCAAGGCTGGAAGTTTAAGGCACTAGAGTTGCCACGTTGGACAACTCGGCAGAAGCGCAGCCTGGCTTCGTTGCCACGTCTCGTCAGATGTCCAGGCAGACGTCACCGTCCACTGACCGCCAAAGGCAGGGGGGCCCTGCTCCAGGGCACGCAGGTTCTTGGGCTGCCCTTTTGTAGCCTTTGCAGAGTAGTCATGCGGACTTCCTCGTTGCCGATCCAGCGACCTTGGCAGTGTGATTTCAACACAGCACTAACCAGCTGATCTCTCCTCAGGAAATGGCACCATCGATTTCCCAGAATTCCTCACCATGATGGCCCGGAAGATGAAGGACACAGACAGCGAGGAAGAGATCCGTGAGGCCTTCCGAGTCTTCGACAAGGTAGGGCCACCTCAGAATAGATTCCGGTGCGCCTGAGAATCGGAATGTTGAGCGGAGCCGTTGGGCAAGTAAGAAAAGACAAATAGTCCAGCTATGCCCGCCTGCCTCATGAAAGGCAGCTCCTCTTCATTTTCACTTGGAACAGATATCAGCATGGTTAGGCAAAGACTGTATCAAAACCTTGTGCTCTTCAGCCAGCGCTGACGGAACGCCGCTCAATCTGCCCTTAGGAACCCTGTTTGGGAGGCTTCCTGGGAAGCCTTACCTGGGAGTCCTGCATGTGTGGGCTGGCCCTGGCCAGCGAGTTTCCCTGGACAGCCTGGGGCTTGCTCTTCCTGGTATTTGGCCAGTGAGGATTGGTGGGCGCCATGGCAAGGCGCGAGCGCGACTTGCATGGGGCTACAGCGGTGTGATGTCGTCATAGGCGCCACCTGCTCCGCCACCCCTTTTCTGCCATGTCTTCTGTTCACAATCTGCATGTTGCAGTTCCGACTGCTGGACTGGTCGTGCCTGCTGTTAGAATCTGCCGCCACAGGGGTGGCCTTCCCCCACAGGGCCGTTCTTCCCAGCCCTTGAGGAATGGAGCCCTCCTCTGACCACCCCTTCTTCCTTCCTTCCACATGCAGGATGGCAACGGGTACATCAGTGCCGCCGAGCTGCGCCACGTCATGACCAACCTGGGTGAGAAGCTGACGGACGAGGAAGTTGACGAAATGATCAGAGAAGCGGACATCGACGGAGACGGGCAGGTCAATTATGAAGGTAAGGCAGCGGCGGCGGCTTGGTGGGGCGAGGGTGGGGGGACCGTGGTCGCGCCCTGGAGACCCCCCCCCATTCTCATGGGCAAGCCCCTTCAATTCAGTTGCTCTGGTTGTTGTTGTTGTTGTAGTTGTAGTTGTTATTATTACATTTCTATGCCGCCCCTTGCCGAAGCCTCGGGGCAGCTTACAACACAATAAGATACATTGAAATACAATAGAACATAATAAATTACCACTAAACATAATACATTACCACTAAACATAATACATTACCACTAAACTAAACTAAAACATAATAAATTACCACTAAATTTTCCTGGTTCAGGAAAGCCGCATCCATGTGACCTCACCGATTGCCCTAGGAGGACAAGGTCTAGACATTTCTTTTCCTTCGTGGCAGTTCTTGCAACTCCCCCATGTCGAAGGGCGGCCTGTCACGCTAACACCTCTCTTGCACGGGTGCACACTGTCTCTCGGTCTCGGGGCAATTGCTCGCAGAGAAAGGCGAACCCACTGCTTGGTGAGGGGCTTGGCCTGGCGCCTGCCACGGACCCTCCTGATCGCCTCCCCTTTCCTGTCTCCTCTCTTCTGCAGAGTTTGTACAGATGATGACTGCCAAATAAGACCAGCCGCTGGCTCCCCTCCCCTTCCCTGTACAGTACGGAAGGACGGTCTGCTTACCACAGAGTTCCCAATCCAGCCCCCCCCCCCCCCGTCTGTGTGGCCCTCATGCTCCATTGACGCTTTAGCAGTGTGTGGCCATTCCCCGCCGTCTCCCCCCCTCCCCTCCTCTCCCGGGTTGCCTGGTAGGCCTGTGCTGGGTGCACCTGGGGCGGCAGGAGGCCAGCCCACAGCCCCGGTGCAGAGGGTGAGGCAGGGCCAGGCTCCTGGCGCGGGGCGGAGTGGGGCAGGCCTCTTCCCCCTCGCCTCCCTCCCCGCCCGGCCCCGTTCGGCCCCGGCCAGCGCCAGCCTTTGCCTCCATGGACTGTTGAGTGCAGCTGACTGCCCCCCTCTGCCACCCGCAGTTGTCTCCTTGGGAATATCTGCATATCTTGGGTATATTGTAACTGTTAACCTATTAATTGCCACGCACTCTCCCTCTCGGTCTCCTCTCCCCCCAATGGCTTCAGGGAATGCTTCTGTTCCATTCCAGTTGGTGTATGGTTTCTTTTCCCCCCCTTCTTTTGAATAAAGTCTGTGTTTCAAACGGGTGGGGCCAGTGTGCTTCTATAGCCCTTTCCCCCTTGCGGTGGGTCGGAGAGCTTTGGTATGGGAATGCACTGCCTGATGCTGATCCCTCCCACCCGTTTGGTGACTTTTCCTTTCTAGCTGAAGGGGCTCCTGGCCCACCAGAGCCCCACCCTCCACCCAGAGAGCAGTATTCTTTTCAGGGGCTGTTTCTGGTGTCTCAGGTGGGTGGCAGGGCTTAGCAATAGGCAGAGAGCCAAGATGGCACTTCTGGCTGCAGCGGAGGCTGTGGGTGGCGGGAGGATTGAGCTTGGCTTGTTTGTAAAAGCCTCCCATCTAAGGGGGGGGGTGGGTCCCCAGGTGCCAAAAGAAGGAGCAACACATTAGCTTCAGAGGCGACTTTTATTTTCAAATAAAAAATACACATGGTTTGGTTGCATGGACGAGATGCCCCTGATGGCTGGTTCTTGGCCTTTTGTGCTGCTTAAGAGAAGGTAAGAATACACTCCACCCAATCCTCCACAGAGCGGAGGGATATGGCAGTGAAGACATACACACGTGCACACACAGACATGTTCAGTTGCCCCGGGGGGAGCCCCCTCCCTCCCCCAAAAAACAGCTGCCAAGTGCAAAAATTGTGAAGGGGGGAGCAGCTGGCAAGTCTTTAGAGACAGTCTGTCTCTGCTTCAAATGTAACATATCTTGAAGTGGGGAGTCCCCTGCCAAGCCACCCCTAAAAGGGGGCATGGCGTTTTGGTGCGGGTGCTGGGCTCTCCAGCGAGGAATCCTCTCTCCCCATGGAGGCCCTGGGCAATCTGTGCAGAACAATCTGGCTGATTTAAATGGGTAGTGAGCCCCCTAAGGAGAAAAAGAGCTGCTTCAGCGCCACTGCATGCTCTTGGGCTCACACTGCGACAAAAATGAACAAATTCTTCTCTCCCTGGCCCCTTGCAGCCTTAAACGAGCAGGCTGCGTCTAGGAGCAGCCAAGGAAGCTTGGAGGGAAGATTGCACCTTGTCGCGATCAGGAAGAAAAAGGCAAAAAGCTTGTGTGGGGAAAGTATTGGTTTCTCTCCTTCCTCCCTGAAGGATTGTGAAAGGTAAAAATATTTGGTTAAATACTTCTCTTTAAAGTGAAAATTTGGCTATATCAAAAGTTAGCTAAACTGATGGGAGAGAATAGCTTTCTGCAGCTATTTGGGATGAGAGATGCCAATTTTTAACCATTCAAACTGATTAAGGAGCAATACATTGCTATTTTAAGCTGTGTTCGGTGGATACAAGCAGTCTCTGGAAGAGATCTCCCTAATTCTTGATAGAGGGACAAACCTTTTCCTCTTGTTTTTAAAGTTTCCAGGTAGTTTAACACTAAATTGCACTTCCCTTTAAAGTGACTCAACATATCGCTCCCTTTTCCTCCATTCTCCTAGGCTCTTTTCTAGAACCTTAAAATGCTTTTCATGCGGGAATATCTTTATTCCAGGTAATGTAGCTCCGTACAAGCTTGTCTGTACAATGTCTTTCCCATTCTCTCTTGCCAATATATTAGAATTGCCCCTCAGAAAGTTAGTGGGGAAGCGAATGAGCATCAACACCTACACACTGCATCTTCTCCAGAGCAGAATATCTTTTGTTCCATCTTAACTTACTGGGTGGACAAGTAAAATGCTAAATACTTAGAAGTGCTCAGCTGCTCTATAAACTTAACGAATTACCTTTGGTTGTGCAGCCAGGTACAGTCTGGGCCTTTCCAGCTAAAACTACTAAGGAAAATGTTCAAAATGGAATTTCAATGCAAACTTCAAATGTCGATGACTAATACCAGTATTACTTTTGTTTTAAAGATTTTGGCCAAATCAATGCAATCAAATTTGAAGTTTCCATTTTGTTTGTGTGGAAAATACTGGCTTTAGGCAAAATCAGGTTGCAGGTGCAGTTCAAAAGCCTGTCCAGGGGTCACTAAGCAGATACATACCGGCTGATGTGACAAAGTACCCACCTCATCTGGTCTGTCTACATCTTATCTCATGCTGTCTTGAACTGGGAGAATTACAGGATTCCAAGGTTGGGGTAGTAAGGGGTGATTCTCCCCAGTGTGCCATCGCGTAAGCGTCTTCCCCATGCTCGCCTTCCATTTTTTTAATTAAAAAAACATACAGAAATTTCTCTCTCTGTCTTAAAAATATACGCTCTCCCTCCCCTTCAACATTCCCACCCCTTCATCCCTTTTTTTCACGAAGTGCCTGAGCTTATACAGTTTCTCCCAGTGGAGTAGCTCCTACTGGGCTCGTAAGGCAAAAACTGACGACTATCTGGAAATACGGAACTTCCAACTTCCCTTCCAGCTCCACCAGCATGGATGCGGGGGGGGGGGGGGGGTCCACAGAGCCGCGTCTTTTCCTGCCAAGGCTCCTTTTGGGCTTGGTATGTGGGGGGCAGATCAGTGTGCCCTGCTTTAGGTAAGGGGGTGAGCGATGCCCCCCCACTCCGGCAGCGCCTGCCCAGTCTCGGGACGCAGGGTCTTGCCAGCGCTGCAGCCTGCCCAGTTCCTGTGCCTCCAACCGCAGGCCTGAGATACATAAATAAAGCAGAGCAAGGCTCCCCAAACCCAGCTCTGGGCCAGGGAACGTCGCCTGCGGATTTTCTGCATCAGCAGCAGGAGCGGGGCTGGTAAAAAAGCTGTGCCCCCCCCCCCCCCGACTCCAAGAGACAAACCTCCTTCCTGGCCTAGCATGGTTTGCCTCTTGGGACGTGTCCCCTGCCTCCAGAGCAGGGCTGGGGGAAGGGGGCCCGAAGAGGCAGCACAGAACAACTCCCTGTCCCCCCCACCCCACCCTTACCACAGGCTGGCAGACCCCCAACCGCCGTTTTTAAAGCGGGGGTTGTGCCCTTGTGGCTGGCCCCGTCCTCCCCACAGCAAACAGCCGCGCTCTGCAGGAGTTGGAACCAACCCTCTGCCCAGAGCCACGGTGTTTTCTCCAAACAGAACTTGGCCACGTTTAACAAGAAAACAGCCCCCGTCATGGATGAAAATACCACAGCATGGGAGGGGGAAAAGGGGGGGGTGGAGGAGGCGTCTTCCTCCAACAGCAACATAGACAATAAATATCCACGCCCTTCGCCCCTTCACACGTGCCCTCTTCCCAGGCTGCTATGAAGGGGGGTCACGGCGAATTGCAGGGACTTTGGCTTTGTGGGGGCGGGAAGAGACCGCTGAGGAGGAGCCCGAGGAGGAGGAAGAGGAGGAGGAGCTGCTGCGGCGCGCTTCGGCCCCGGTACTTGACATCTTGAGCTTGCGCCGCTTGGCGAGGGGTGCGTTCTCCACACTCTTCAGGAAAAACCCTTCCCGTTTGCCCTTGTTAAAGGCCTGATGAGAGAGAGAGAGAGAGATGGCCCTTTTGCTGTTTCGTCTCAAGATCTTCGCAGGCTACCACTGCATCTCTCCACAGCTGACCTGGCTTGCCGCCTCCACCTGCTCCCCGAAATTCTACCTAGACGGGCTTTCCAGCCTCGGCCAGATCTGCCAAACAAGAACTCCCTCCCGCGAGTGGCCACAAACTTCCTTCTCTCCTGGCCCGTGTGCCCAAGGCTTTGTGGGGAAGGCAAGATGGCAGGCACCGGCAGGGTGTGCCCTTCCCCAGCCAGCTTCCTCACACCCGGTGCTCAGGCAGCCCAGCCACACCGAGGCGGCTCCCCGGCCCCCGGGGGCAGCCCTGACGCTAAGCCCCGGTTGCAACGCCCAGCCCGGGCGGTGCGACTCTTACCATAAAGGCAGCATTGACGCCAGTTCGCACGGCGGGCCCTGAGCTTTCCAGCATGTCTGGAGTCATGAGCGGCGTGGAGGAGAGGGCGCTCCCGTCCTGCAGCCACTCGCTGTAGCGCAAACTGGGCATCTTCAGCCGCTTGGCGGGGTCCACCGTGAGGAGGCCTGGGGGCAGGGGGTGGGTTTGGGAGGGGATGGAAGGCGGCAGAGGTCAAAAGGGGGGCCGGCGAGCGGCTACCTTTCTAGCAAGGTGAGAGGCTTCGGAGGCGGCCTATTTTAGCTCACAACTTGGTAGGCCAAAGCCAGACAGCAGGAATCCGAACCCCAGTGGTCCAGACAAATAAACATTAATCTGAATTGCCAAGGCTGCCTGTAGGCCACTGCACAAATGTTCCATTAAGCCCAGTAAAACTTGCTTCGGAGCAAAGGTGTATAGGCTTGGGCTGCAAGCCAAGGTGGTACAAATCAAATTTAATAAAGTTAAAACTCAAGGGTTTGTCTGTCATTCTACTTACTTTGTGTTGATCGGCTGGAATAGAAGAAAGCCAGAAAGAGCTGCTTTCCTCAAGCAAGTTGGGTAGAAATCTGCTGCTGTTGGGCATTGTCTTAGTTTTAAAAATCTCTTAAAAGTAGAGTTTCTTTTCTGTCTTTCTTTTTAAAGATGGGCTATAGTAGAGGGTTAAACATGCCACAAGACATTTCTAGACCTTTCTGAACCCCAGAATCCACCTCGGGGTTACCATTTGACTTGGGGATTTTTTTAGCAAATCAAAATGGCCGCCTTCTTCCCCACCCCACCAGCAGCAGACTTAGCCAGCAGACTGACCTCCTCCCCCGCCTGTGCTCAGAGACCCCCCCTCCACCCCCGTCCCCCACACCGCCCCAGGCGCCCCCCCGTCACCTCGGACCAGCTCCTTGGCCTCTTCCGACACGTTCTTCCAGGCCTCGCCCTCCAGGGAGAAACGCCCCTCCTTGATCTTGTGCATGATCTCGGCTGCGTGGCTTGCCGCGCTCCCCTCCTGGCTGCTGTGGAAGGGGACCTGCCCGGATAGCATGGTGTACTGCGTTGCGGGGGAGAGGGGGACAGAAGAAGGGAGTGACACAGGGGCACCGGGCGACACGCCTCCCCGAGCCTTCGCACGCCTGGCACTATGGGGTGGGGTGCTTGCTCGCCATCTGCCCCTCCTCGCAGAGCTGTGGTGCAGCTCTTGCGTTCCTGTGCAAGCTCAGAGCGAAGCAAAGACACCCCCGGCAGCCACCTCTCCAGGCTGACGGTGCTCGGGGCCTCCTAAGATCAGGGGACACTTTTTGTTCTTCCCCTTTTTAAAAAAGCGATGTCCATCTGCAGTGTACACTCTTCAAGTCAATGCAATAAATGGAATCTAGAAAGCAAGTTAGAAAGCAAGCTACTAGCCCTCATGTTTCACGGGGGAAACTCAGGAAAAGGTATGGGCTAGTGTGAAGGAAGTGCCGGCAATTTCAGTGAGGTGTGATGCAGATTTGGGGGGTGTGGAAGAGGAGAGAAGGTTGGCTGAGCCAATCATGGGGAGACAGAAAGTGCAAACTACTGAAAACTAATACTACATTCTACACACTACTTTGAACCCTGCTGTGGCTGCATATAAATCCTTGCATAGGTAAGAAAGGGGCACGTCTTCCATAAAGGGGCACAGCTCAAGGGCCTCCCCAGGGTACTCCAGCTCCCCATCAGCCTGGTCTCCCCGCCCCTCCCCCCACTCCCACCTACCAAAATCACCCCCAGGCTCCAGAGGTCGCAAGACTCGTCGTATCCCCCGTCCTGCAAGAGTTCGGGGGCGGCGTACTGCAGGGTGAAGCAGGGCGTCTGCATGGGCTGCGAGTTCTGGGGGCGCAGGCGGGCAAAGCCGAAGTCGATCACTTTCACAGGCGCTCCCTCCGACTCGTCCGCGTACAGGATGTTCTAAGGGCCGGAGCACATCGAGAGCCACTGCAAAGCTGGCCGCCTCGCCGGGCCACCCAAGACCATCCTGGCCTCGCTTGAAGGCCGGATCCACAGGGGGCGCAATCCAGGCTCTCCACACCGAAACGGTGCTCCGTGGGGGGTGGGAGCATTCGCCCAGCAGCCTCTCTTCCGCACAACCCAGCCGGTGCCAGGCGCCTCCCCTCAGCCTCCCAGCCCCGCTCGGCCCCCATACCTCGGGCTTGAGGTCGCGGTGCACCACCCCGGCGTCGTGCATGAAGCTGACGGCAGAAACCAGGCTGCGCATGATCTGGCTGGCTTCCGACTCGCTGAAGTGCTGCTTCTTCTTGATGCGGTCCAGCAGCTCCCCGCCCTGGAGCAACTCCATCACCAGGTACGTGTGATACTGTGGGAGAGGCGCAGGGCGACCAGCTCAGGAGGATGGGGCAGGCAAACTCCCATTCGCGCTCTTCTAAACCCTTTGGGACCCCCTTCCCATGGTGCAGGCACAGCCCACGGGAGCCCAACTATACCGCTGGGACGTTTCCACCTGCCTCACCTGGTCTTGATGGACTTCGTGTAGCTTGACGATATTCGGGTGGGCTTCACAGATTTGCAAGGCGGCCACTTCGCGCTGTGTGTTCACTTCCATCCTGCAAGAGAAGGTGGGGAGCGTCAGGTGGGAGCGACTGGCTAGTTCGAAGAGGTGGCCAAGGCACAGGCATGCAAGGGAGAGCCGGATCTTTGCTATTCTTGGCTAAGGAGGGTAAAGCCCGGCGAGCGGAACCCGCCAGGGACCTGGCTGCATCTCGCTTCCCGCTGTGGTCCCCTCACGACCCCTGCTGCGAGTCTCCGTCTTGTTGGATGACCTTGGCGAGAAGCAAAGCCAGAAAGCGGGGGGCGGGGGGGCAGTGGGGAAGACTGCTTTCCACCTGCTTTCCGCAGACACCTCGCACTGTCATGCTCAGCATGGAAAAACATCCCTGGCTAAAACCCTCTTTAAGCAGCCCAAGGACAGAGCAGCGGGACTCACGGGAGCCGATGCTGGAGGGACGCCCGAGCGCCTAACAGCCCACTTGCCATTTCTGCTGTCAAGGGCACCTGCATTCCCGAAAAAGCATTTTTGGGATGCACTCAGGTGAACTGGGACACAAGGGGGGGGGCAGCAGCCCTCCAGATACGGGACTCCAGCATCGCCAACAGTTGGGGATGATGGGAAGTGGAGCCTACCATCTGCAGGACCCCAGACTCACGGCCCCTGAACTGGCTCCTGCCTTCCCCCAGGCGTCTCTTCCTGTTTGCCTTTCCGACTGGCCTCCTGCCCGGCTGGAGGCTTTTGCATAAGCCTGAGCCTGCTCAGTCCGGACTCCCCGGGGCAGGTCTTTGTTTTCCGCTCTCCTGGTGCTGTGAGTCTGCTTGATGCCAGAAGTGCGAGGAAAACAAACCTGCAAACCACAAGGGATCACTCTGGCACAACCAGGCAATTCAGCTCGGGCCCCGCGGCCCCGGAGGTGCTGGCCGCGGGAGAAGACTCCTCTTGGGGCGTGGAAGGAGAGGAGGGGGACCAAGCACCTTTTGCTGATGATCTTCACGGCGAACTCGGCCCCATTCTGACGCTGCCGGCAGCGGCGGCACAAGGAGAAGCTGCCTTCGCCCAGTGGCGATTCCGTCAAGTCCATCTCATACTGTTGGAAGAACGAAGAATCCTGGGCAGAGGAGCAGGGAGTTAGAGAGGCACCCGTGGAGACACCCCGAAAGAGAAGGCCCACCCCCCAAGTCAGGCCCACACGCTCTGGGAGAGCCTCTATTGCAGGGGAGGCAAGCTGGAGCCCCCTGATGTTTGGACTAAAACCCACACCCCCCACAGCCACTGGCCATGCTGGCTGGGGCTGGCAGTAAAGCCACGTAACTGATGAGGAGGCGGCACGTTGAAGGCAGGAGAAGAGGAAGACCAGTGATGCGAGGGATTCATTCCCTCAAGGAAGGCACGGCCTTGAGCGGACAAGAGCTAGTTGGGTGGCATGCGGCAGCGACACGGGAGGCCGGCCTGGCTGCCCCCACCCGAGAAGGGCTGCCCAACCTTCATCATGGCGCTGCGGGCCACGGCGGCGCTTCCGGGCCGCTCTCCGTCCAGCGCAGCTCCGAGCACGTCAGCGGTCACAGCATTACGGTTGAAGAGGATGGAAGGTGCAATGAAGGAATAGCCCTTTTCAAAAGAAGAAAGCGAGCCAGGATCAGCAGGGCCGGAGAAGGGGAACGGAAACCGTTTCGTGCAGCTGGGGAGCTAAGCAACGAGCAGAGCAAAACCAAGGGGCAGAACTCCTCCTGGGCGTCCTGAGTCCTACTGCACATGTGAATGTCCCCCCACCTTAAAGCCAGCACAGCGATCCATTATCTCTCATATCCTGGGGAATTTACTTCCTATATAGATTTAAGCTACGCTTAATATGCACAGACAAATCCTGGTAGTCTTGAAGTGCCCTCAAGCAGGATAGTTGCGTTTCTGCCCTGTGTGACTGCAGATTAGGGAAGGGAAATGAGGAAACGCTGAAGAGAACCCCGAAACTCACAGCTAGGCAGTGTACAGCTGACAGAAATCTGGAGAGATGTTTAAAAACACACTGAGCAAAGCCCTTTCATTCTAACCCCATGTTCCACAGAGGAGGAAATCTATACAAAGGTACTTCCTGAAATGATCTGAGCAAAACATCAACGGTGTTTCAACCTCAGAACAAGAAAGCAGTTCTAATGTTGGGGTGACTTCAGCAAACTTCAACATGACAGATTATACATTCTAGAATCTGACCAAGGAAGAGACTATGGGCTGCTCCTTCATATGAGTTATAGCAGATGGAGCGATCATTGGATTCGATCTCCATATATAACAATTAGCTAATAATTGTGATTATAACTGGCCCATCCCTTAGTGGAAGTGGCACTTGGAGGGAGGCCTCAGACCTTGGTCACAGTGTCAGCGGAAACTGTGGTGGGAAGAGACCTTCTTTTGGTAAACTTGGTGTTGCACTTCCAAGTCCAACAAGGGCTCGAATCACACCTGGCAGCAGGCAGGCAGCCAGTGCAATGGGCCCAGAACTGGCCTTGGAATTTCAGACCTCCTGGTCCCCGTTACCAGTCCGGCTGCCACGTTTTGCACAAGGTGCAGTTCCCAAACAGTCTTCAAGGGCAGGCCCAAAGGGAGTGCATTGTAGTAATCTAATCTGAAGGTCAGCAGAGGGTGGATTCCTGAAGCCAGGCGATCCCTGCCCAGGCAGGGACGCAGTTGGCCGAGGGTGGCACTCGGTCCCTCTGAGGCCAGTCGGCTTAGGCCGGCTCCTTCAAGAGGGGTGCAGGCCCACCTGCTGGGCAGGAAGAACCGTGCTCTAACCGCGTCTCGGGTGTATCTGCACCGAGCTGCAGTTGGCCGGCCCTTGCCCGTTGCAGCCGGGCCCCGTGAACATGTCCAGTGCCTCAGCTCATGCAGTTGAAAAGCAGAAGCTGGGCTGTGTACGGGGATCCTTGGGGGACCCTCTGAAGCAGATTTAGGGGGATCCCAACCTGGCCCCCTCCAGAAATGCTGGACTACAACTCCTAGTATTCTCGGCCGTCACTCTTCTTCCAGTTCCGTTCTTTCCCCCACCTCCTGTACACCTTCTCAGCGACAGGGACTGCCGAATGTGGCCTCGCCCCTGGCGCTCACCTGGAAGACGCGGTCGAGGCTGGGCGGCGTCCCCGCAGGCGAGTAGATGGGCTCCAGGCTGGTGAACTCTTCTGCAAAGTTCCGCACGTCCAGCTCGCTGCGGATGAAGGGCTTGAAGGGCGGCTTCACCCTGCGGGCCGCGAGTTCAGTCCAGTCCAGACCCTGCGGAAGGAAGGAAGGAAGGAAGGAAGGAAGGAAGGAAGGAAGGAAGGAAGGAAGGAAGGAAGGAAGGAAGGAAGGGAGATGCTTGGTTAAGAGCATGCAAGTCTGCAAGCTTAAAGGGGCCTGTCTGTTGGGATCGTGCAGCATGGAACTCTGGGAACTGTAGTTCTCTGAGATGGGGCTGTGGGCTTCCTCCAGCCCGCAGCTTCTTCCCAGGAGCAGCTGCTAAACCCATTGCTCAACTAGCAGGCAGAGGAGAGTTGAGAGCACAGTGGGTGAAGGGGAGAGCCGTGGGGGGGGTCCTTCTTGCCAATTATCTGGGTTCATCCTAATTGGGTACTTCCAGACGCAAAGCAATATTTAACTGTTGCATTTATAGATTGCCGTGAGCCGTCCAGAGACGAAAATGATTGGTTGGCCTAGAAAAATCCTAAATAAATAAAAATAAATAAATAAGGCAATCTGTCGTTCAAAGGGAGAAGGGGGCAACCCAGGGAGGGAGGGGTACTTGGAGCCCGAGGGGCAGTGTCCACTTTAGAGATGCTTCCGGGGGACCACATCCCCATGGTGAGCAAGGCCAAGTGCCAGCGTCTCTCAGCTCAAAGCTCTTCGGCCAGCGGCCAAGCCTTTGCAGAACCATCTCAACTTTTCGGAATGGGGAGAAACGGCTCGGCGGCAGGAGACCACGAAGTCACTGTGGGCGCAGCCATCTGGAGAACCACGGAGAGGTGTACCGGGAGCCCAGGATCCGGCCCGTGGGTCTACACTCCTGCTCTGCAAACCTTGTCAACTAAAGCCGCATCACAGCCCAATGGGACAGACGGCTGCTTTTCAAACGAGTTGTGCCTAATCCTACTCAACTTCATGGCTTTCTCCTCATCTTGACGCTGGCCCTGCAAGAAGCTGTTCTGGGGAAATTGCTACCCCTCAGGGAAGCACTCGATGGGAGGCGGTGGGGTCGCTGAGTGGAGGACCGGGGTGATGCCGGCTGGCGGTGGGGAAGAGCCAGCTGAGCTCCTGGTCACTAGCAGTTCTGCAAGGACAAGGCAGGCCTCACCTTGAAGAAGGGGTGTGCTTTGATCTCCTGCGCCCCCGTGGGCCCCGAGCCCAGCCGCTTCTTGGGGTCCTTGCACAGCAGCTTCTGGAGCAGGTCGCGGGCAACGGGGCCGATGACCGAGGGGAACGGCGGGTTGCACTTCAGGATCCGCCTGCATGGCAGAAGCGACTCGTCAGCGGGAAGCCTGGCTCGACAACTGCCCAGTGCCTGCCAGCTCCCCCGGCTCTGGCCAAGGCCCACCCCGCCACCTCCCACTCCGCCAGTCTTGCTCTTCCCCGTTATGTATCAGCCCCCAAGTTCCTGGGGACTCTGCTCTCTGGCTAACTCCACTCTATTCCCCACCGAGCCCACAAGTTCACGCCGATCCACCATGCATTTCCCACGAGTCTCGGCCTCTTCTCCCGCCCACCGCGGTCCCTGCCCTCTTTCATCCGCCCCGAACCCTACGCCCACTCCTCCCCTGTTCCACCTCACCTGGACACCTCAGCCTGTGAGTTCTTCTCTCCCTCCAGTGTGAACGGTGAGGCGCCAGTCAACAGTTCGAAAGTCAGGATGCCTAAACTCCACCAGTCTACCGACTGCAAGAAAAAACGGAAAAGAAAAATTGCCTTCACAAGTGGTTCAAAGGAGAAGACCTCTTCAAACATCAACTGGAAGTAAGAGCTGCTCATGGAAATCAAGGAAGAAAAACCCCAGATTTTAATGTCCCTGTAAACTGCTCCCTGGTTCATCCAGACTTGTCTTTTAAGATTATAATGAGCATGCAAGTTCTTTGGATAACGTAACTTTTTCAAGCTGGTGGCCGTTTTGAGGTTTATTCCCCTTTTCTCCTTGTGGAGACAGAGTGCTGTAAATCTTAATGCATTAAGATTGGGGGGGAACTTTGTTGGGGGGGGGGTCTCATTTTTATGGAATGCACCAAGCAGATCACTTACTCCTGTTTTATTAAAATGACCAGCAAAGGCTTCCAAGTGCCAGGCAGCATTTTTTTCCAGCAAAACTCACCACGCAGGAAACAAAAGATTGGCCAAGCATCCCCTATTCTTTTTTCTTTTTTTTGGCCTCAGAGCCTCATAACAGAATTTTGCCAGGTTGTAAGTGCAGTCTGGCCTTTATGTCTCCTAATGTTTATCTCCACCTGCCCACCATTGTATTTTATATGCATGTTTGTACTTTACCCTCCTTTCATGTCTGAAAATTATGTCTCGGACTGTCTGCTGTTGTTTTGAATGGTGCTGTAACTTAAGAATAAAACTGAACTGAACCGGTATTGAACCACACCAAACTGGCTTGGGGCCAGGGCATCTACCCTCCTCGGGTAACAAGACACAAAGAGGGGCCTTTTTGGTAATGGCACCCCAACCTGGAACAAGCTCTCCAGAGCCTGGCGTCTCCCTCTATTCGTTTCAGAAGATCTTTTTATTTTGAGGGCATTTGAATTGTTAATCGGTGTTTAATAGCACTTTAACTATGGGGTATGCCTTTTTATGAAGTTACTAGTTCTGCCAGTGGGCAGATTTTTTTATTATTTTACAATTTTACTGTTCTAATGTTTTATTGTAATTTCTGATTCTTGTTTTTATATTGCATCTGTGGTTGTACTGTTGTAACCTGCTCAGGGAGCCAAGAGCTAATGGGGCAAGCTAGACACCCAATAAATAAATATTGAACTTTATATAGTTGTAGGTTATTTTCTGAGTGACGAAAAATTCCCCAGGTGCGGAAAAGCAGGAAAACCCCCTTTGCAGCCACTGGTGCCTACGTAGTCTCAAGCACAGTGCAGCTGAAATCAGGCATTCTCCCAATTTATCTCAGCAATACTCAACTATTGTATCCCTTGCATTAGATCTGCTTAACTCTTGACCAGCAAACACCCTTTATGAACATAAAACCAAGCCATGAAGTAACAAATGTCATTTTGATAACAGTATCAAAATAATGCCAAGTTAAAGACTGAAAACATTGAGGCACTGGCAATCAAATGAATAACTATGTTACACATCGAAGATAAAATCCTAGGCTCTGGCATCAGCAAGAAGAGATCTTGGCCTTCCTCTTTGTGCCAGCCTTTGAGGTCCTTACAGAGGGACAGGAGTCCCTCTCGGCCATGCAGCCAACTGGGCGACATAGAAAATCCAGCAAGTGCAACTGAAATTTTCTGGCGTTCCAGCTTCTTTCGAGAGCCAGACCTTCCCAAGAGGAGACGGGCTCAGCTGGGGAGAAGCCAATGCAAGGGGCCCCACAATTATCACAGATCACCCTGCAATGGTGATCACAGAAATGAAGCATAATCTGTTCCGAGGACTTTTCAGCAGCTAGCACAGGCTGGGAGAGGAACCACTTGGCTGCTGAGCTGAGCAGCAACTCCGGGTGACTGGAGAGCCCTGGGCTGCCAACCTGGGACCACAAGAGGGGCTAGAATCTTGCTCGGGCGACAGGGGGAGTGAGGCAAGCAACCTGCAGCCTTCTAGGCAAAGCTGGGCCGCAACCGCCATCAGCTTGTGCTAGCCCAGTCACTGCTGAGGGGGGACAGAAGTCCCCCCCCCCCATTCTAAGGAAATGCCCCCGGCCCACCTCAGGGAAACCCAGATTTCTGCAACCGAAGGAGAGCGATTCTGCACCAAAGGGCAGACGTTTTGCAAGAAGGGCAGGTCACGTCAACTGATTTCAAGTTACTCGGCAAGGAGAAGGAGAGCAGGATCTGGTGTGCCGCCTCCGGGGGCGGATTTCCTCTCCCTCCGGTCGACACCCACCAGGCGCCTGGCCCAGGTCTCCAACGGGACCCCTTGGCTCACACGCTCAGAATGTGGCTGCTCAGGTTTGCAGTACCTGGCTGCACACAGCTTGCAGAAGGATTGCATATAGTAGAAGTGCCATCTGAGCGGTAGCTTCGGGTATTAGGCTACACTGCTCCAGGGCGCAAAGGGAGGATGCGCGGTTGTGTCCAGCCAACAACCCCCAGGGCCATGCTGACCGATTAGAGAAGTGCAAGGCCCAGAGACGCTGGAACTGGACTGACTTGAGATGGCCGTTCTTTATCATTCCAGTCAATGCGGCAAACAGAAATGACCAATTGTGTTAAGCTTGTCCTTGAGTTTTCAAGTTCTTAATTTTAAGGGACAAGAGGACTGCCTTCCCTAGTCCAGCAATCCCATAAAAGTCTACAGACCTACGCACCACAAACACGCCTGCAACTGGGCCTTACTGAAATATCTGGAAGGTGTTGGGTTGAGGAAAGATGCCGTGCAGGCTCTGGTGAGACTGTTGGTTCATTATTCCCAAATTGCAGTGTAGTGGTAATTTCCCTCCCGCCCATAAAACCCACTAATTACCAGCACCTTGTCGCAAACAAACGAGGTTCCCCATTCCACTCTCACAGAATCTGAGGACATCTGGTGTCTGACAATTTCTCTGGTTCACCTGAGAACCTGCACCCTTGCGACTTAATAGCTGTTTTATATACCCGGCATGTTAAAGCCTCCTTTTTTGAGAAGGGACACACATTTTCTAAAGCAAAGCCCTTTGCAATCCGCCTCTTTAAATCTTACAGATAACAGCCCTTCCCTGGACTTGTTAGACTCTTAACAGACTCTGCCCAGATGGCAGGTCCCGTTCCAGCTGTGATTCTGACCAGCTCAGACCCTTCTTAACCTCACACTGTAATAAAAAAAATTACCCCTCTGTAAGGCTGCTTGCAAGCTTCTCTTCCTCTCTATTTTCTCCTCACAACAACCCTGTGAGGTAGGTTAGGCTGACAGTCAGTGCCTGGCCTAGAATCAGGCACTGACCTTCCCGGCAAAGTGGGGACTCGAACCCAGATCTCCTGAGGACCGGCCCCGCTGCCGACCTGCCAGACCGCACTTGGGCTCCCAGCTCTGCCCCCTTCCCAGCAGCTTATCTATTGAAGCAGGTTACAGGAGCAGCATTCCCGAGATGTAAATCCGGCAGCTCCGGGACACCCAGCCCAGTTGTTTTTCACATGCCCCCCCATGCCAGGCCTTCCCCTGCCAAGCTGCCCCAGTTCCCCCCCACCCGGCCCTATGGCATCCCCCTCACCTTGCCATGGCCGCTTTTGCTTCGCACGATCTCTGGGGCCATATACTCGATCGTGCCGCAAAAGGAGAAGGTCCGTTCTTTCTGTGGAGAAGGGCAGAGCAAAGAAAGGCAGAGTGTGAGAGGAATGTACCCCACACGTCAGAACAGGCTGCGCTTGTTGCACCGACCAGCTTTTCAAAGGGCTCAGGAGAACGGGACGCAGCAGAAAATGTTTAACAGACCCTCTCTACTCCCATCCAGGATCGCCCTAGGACAGTGACCCATGTAGAGACCGAGAGCAAAAACAATGACCCAAACAAACTTATTTATAGAAAACTGCCAACACCGCAATGAAACCTGAATACTGAGGTTTTAGTTAAGAAAAAACTCCTCACAGTCAGTGCAAGGAAATATATATATCTATTTGGCAGTGCACTGACTGGCCATGTGAAAGCTCGAACGAGTCGCGGCTCCTCAGCCGAGGTTCGTGACGTCACTGCCTGGCTCTGCTACTCCTCTCCGAAGATGCGCAGGGCCCTCCGTGCGCTGCTATGCGATGCTCGGCCGATGGATCAATGCTGGGGCGGCTTGGCTGCGTGCCGACAGAGAGGGCTCTGCAGGCCAGCTTTTCCACGAGTGAAATCGGTTCGCCAACGCTGCCCTAACCCGCCAGGGTGCACACACCCACCCCTACTAAAGGGTGAAAGTTCGACTGAAAAGAGGGCAATTTTTGAAAAGCCTCCCTTGAGTAGCTTTTTCTGCGCATCTCAATGTTTCTGGCCATTCTAAACACATTCCAACCATCAAAACCATGCCAGGACACCTCGTTTCTCTAACCCTAACCCTACCCTGGGGCATATCCCTAACCCTAAT